CGGTCCCCTCTCCCTTCCCAAAGCGGCCCGGTTCCCAACGCTTGCCCTCTTCCTTTCCGCGTGTCGTTTCTCTCCTGAATAGCGGCGGAGCTTGCTATGCATTAGAGGCAGGAGGACGCGACAAGGCTGAATGTAGGCATCGCCGCTACCGCCGGGATGCTATTAAGATAAAAACTTTCCCCCGTGCGCGTCGCGAGCGGGTCACCTTTGTCTGGTCTCCCTTTCACGGCTCCTGTGATACGGAGACGCGGGCCGGGCGGTTTTAATGGACTACACTTCACCGCCAAGGCCCTGATGGGTTGATTATCCATTCACAGCAGACGCCTCTGACGGGAGTCTTTCTCTGCGCGACGCCTGACAGTTTGGTCTGATTGCTAGTTAGCACGTTTCTCTAACAGGCTTACCGGGCCGGCCTGACATTCCATACGGTCTGCCGTACATGGTAATCACCGCCTTGCCTGTCCCAGCCCCGGGAAGGGTCGCCGTCGTTTCCTTTCAGGTCGTCGGCTCCGATTTTCCGGGCGATTTTTCTTTGTCCACTTTTGTCGGAGAGGAGCTTTAATAAGGCTGCACCGCGCTTCTGCTGTGGAACATGGCGGGGGAGAACCGTTAGACCCCGTAAACACTAGACTGTGATCGCTGAACAACCAAACTTGGATTTGTGTGACCTGTGATTTTATATGATATGATAAGCATATTCCTGTCCAGATGGACTAAATGCATATGTGACCATATGTGGTCTAGGGCATATAAGACATGGAGTACAGATCACAAGCAATACTACATTCTAACGCTATATACTAAAATTCTATCTATTAAGATAACACTAATAATTAGAATATAGTGCACGATGCAAAATATATGCATGATTTAAAAGACAACAAAACACATAAATCATTCTTTGACCATGGGATCTGTTGATTTAAATGAGTAAAATTTGAATGATTAGGTTGAAAATTTACGGATGAACTTTTTCACCTTGGCGATAGGAGGCGTAACTAGTAGAAGTTTCTGGAAGTGAGTTGGATTTCTACATTGTATGTCTCAGCTTTCCACCAATTCTGGCTTTCTCGCTTATACTGAGATCCGGGGCCCGGCCGGGCTGTTTCGATTAACGAAAAGTGAATAATTTATATCAATAATATACGTAGATAGTTCCCAGTATCAATTTATGTCAACTTTTTTTGTGCTTTGGTGTTTTTTTTATATCATACTTTTCGTTCCATAAGACTGCCCGGCCGGGCCCCGGTTTGGAAATGTGACCTCAGCATTACATGTTCTAACTCCCCCCTCTCGGCTGTATTTATACGTATTTATGCCCTGTGACCACACATATTACCGGCATAAGAAAGGCGCAGAACCCGTGCCCTTACATGACATCTCCTCGATCCGCCCATCTATAAGGAGAAAGGAAGGCTTAGGCCTGGATCAAGTAGAAATCCCCAAATGCCTTAACGGGACAGAATGGGAAAATATAATCAACTCATCATATTTCACTCCCTATACAATAAGGGGAAAAGTGTATTATTTTCCTTGACTTTTCTCTCTCTTTTCCCTGCCTCAGTCAGTCATCGATCAAACAATGGATTCAATTTTGTCATTATTCTGGCAAGCGACTTGAAATTAGGTAAAGAGTTTGTACATACCCTCTGGTGGATATCTTTCCTTGTCTTTTTGCATAGGCCGGCCTTAAAACTCTTTTATTGAGTTTTTTTGTGATGGTTGTAGGCTAATTTTTATAACTTTGAGGACGAACATGCACACATGCCATGCCTTTTTTAGCCCGGGTACCATCCGCAACGCTCCGCAAAGCGTTGCGGAGCGAAAATCCGGATGGTACCCAGGTTAGCCTTTTTTTACCTGGTTGGAAATTACCGATTCGGGGACACGTGTTAGTAGTCTTTTAGCAGGGCCTGTAATTAATCAATTTTCTCTCGGCAGTCCCGTCTTGTGTGAATGTTAACTACATCAGCGTTTCCCTTTAATCACGGCGAACCCGCGCCGCTGGAGCGAATTAACGTAAAACCCCACCGCCGAAATTAGACCGAATTAAAACGCAATTTCCATCGACTTTCGGGTCGGGTCCACAAACGACCAGTTTGCGCGCATTCCGGACTAACCCGCCTTAATTGAGAAATCGGTCTCCAATGGCCCAACTTGGAGGACTCTAATCTCAGACACAGGCCGAAATGGGCGCGAGATCGATCCCTCAAATATCCGCACACAGAAGTTAGTCATTTTCCCGCACCGCCACCAGAGCTTCGGCGCCAAACCGTCCCTCTCAGGGATGTTTGTAGAGCTATTCGGTTTTAACCCTAGTTACCTTGTCACTCCCGCCAGTTCTTTAAAGTTAATAGTGTGTTAGAACTTGACCATTGACTTGGGTGTCAACCTAAAATAGACATGCTTTTGTCACCGATTTCCAAAGTCGATATATTTTTGGCTACTTTTATCATTACAATCTAGATAGAACGTTGTAGTCTAGGTGATGGATAAAAAGTTGTGTAGAAGGGTAAGGGCTTCGCGCAGGGACAGTACGTACTGCCGACGCGTATTGCCTAAAACGCAGTTAACATCCAATCTCCAAGCAGATCATACGGTGGCAAGGCAGTATCCATTGGTGTGGCAACAGTAGTGTCCTTCGGTGGCTAATGGACACAATGACTGCGCTGCCTTGCCACCGTATGATCTGCTTGGAGATTTAGAGACGTCGGTGTTTGGTCGGCCTGACTGATCAGGACTGACCGATGGAGCTGGTTGTGATTATAGCGACACAATCGCCCCATCTACCTCCTGCCTCCTCAGGCCCGCCGGACCTTCAGTGGGCGGTGCGGTCCCACGGGATAGCTGACCGGCGGGGATACGTGAATGATGAACTTCTAAAGACCTGAAGTATAAATTTGAATAGGTGTAGTATAGATTAACAAGCTAACTACTTAACTAACTAACTAACTAACTAACTGATTGCTTACCTTTCTTATTTACTAAATAGAATAAGAACAGGTTGGCAGGATAATACAACGATAAAATAAGAACAAGCTGATATAATCTGATTTTCTTTTATCAAGGACGTTTTACAACGTTTTAAAACGGCCTTGATTTTAGCAAGTTCTGGTCGGCCTAGGTCTGACGCGTTTCATTTTTCGAAGATTCCTTCGTTGTGCAAATAAAAATGAATGATTAACTATTTCCTTGCGAATAGTAACCAAACAAACAGACATTAGCAACTCAGCATGGCTTCACCTCAGTGCTACAGACACGTTCATGAGCTCTGAGGTACCCGGATTAGCCTCGGTACCAGACTGTTGCCAAGGTCACTTTACAGGCTAGCTCCTCGCTCCAGGGCCAACATATCCCCAAGGAGATTTTACCACAGATACTCCTCAGTTAGAACTAGCCTGGGTACCATCCTACTTGTATGCCGGGGCTCCCACACTCGCTTCCCTACCCACACTCGCTTCCCTAACAAGTTTACTTGTTAGGGAAGCGAGTGTGGGAGCCCCGGCATACAAGTAGGATGGTACCCAGGCTAAGATAGACCTTGTTACACAGGGTCAAAACTGGCCCTGACAACTATTTTGGCACATACTGTAGACTAACTCCCTTGGCATGTTACCTGTCTTTTTGGTTGGTCAATTTCTATTTTTTCTTACCATAGAGGTAGAAGGGAGACTCCATGTTTTTACCCTCCTCTGAAGCCTGGTGGAGGCTACCAGGCTCCCCGTTCGAGGCTCCCGGCCTCCCGGGAAACGAGATTAGTTCCGCCGGTGTTGCTGAATAACCAACTGTCATCCCTCCGGACACAGGCGGGGACAGGCAACACTTCAGTCAGGGACGGTACATTACTGATGCGGGGGTAGGGGCGAAAGTGTCCTCCGCGGAACGACTAATTTCGTTTTTGAACGGTCCCCAATAACAGCACACAATCTTTCATTTATTTGTTATTCATTTACTGATTGATTGATTCATGTGCTTCCAAACACATAGGCCCAGGATGCTCCCTTAATTATCCTTATTGTTGAATTGTTTTTAAACCTGTGTACGTAATTCAGCGGTTTGTACGCTGCCATGTACAAGGAGTGTTGCCAATAAACTATTATTATTATTATTATGTTTAGTTTATTACAGCATGTAAAAGTAATAATAGACAAAGATATACATAAAGATAAAAAAAGTACATATTTCTTGTAGTTCAATGAATAGTCAGTAGCCAGGCAATGACCACATATAAAATATCCACGGTAATACCCTTTTGCGAAATGAATAACGCCGTGCCATAAGGTCAGATACTAGAAACCTGAAAGACTATTTTTCCGGCTACTGAAAACTTGTTGTACTGGGCTCTTGTAGTATGAACGGTAGATAAACTCGCGTGACGCACATACTTAATCATCTTTATCTCGTGTTTATATTTGACGTGGACCTTAGGAGTCCTTGTAATTTTTGTCAACGAAGTTCTCCTTGCTCGCAAGATTCACGTAAACGCCATTTTGTCCATTGATGATACGTGTTATCTTTCCAAAATATTATTGAAGATTTCCATGCCCAATCATCCTTACCTCCAATATTGGTGGTTTATACCAAGGACCGACGTTTTATCAAACCAGTCAACATGAGGAACAACCATCTGTGTCAGGCGGCCACTGATCGTAAAGTTAGGGAGTTCTTAAGAGTTAGAGCTCGTTAAAATAAGGAGCGGGATTTTATCAACCGTGTTTAATCCCCTCGGAGATTACAATTCGATTAAGTACACTGAGCTTACAACGTACCCAATAAACATTTATCAGTTGACAAGAATGAAGAAAATGTTTGATACTGATGGAAGGCGAGACCTTCCATCTACTCACACCCCCTCCCGAGCCTACAAATGGTTGCTCCCTGCGCGAACCCCGAATTTTGAAAGAGACAGAGCGCGCGCCATTCTCTCGTCTGTTGTGTCGGAGAGACGGTCTTGGACGGGTTTTTGTTTGACGTTTTCTTGTGTCTTGTGACCTCCTCAGGACTGAAGCCTCCCTGTAAAGGAGATCACGCCTCGTCTTCTTCCACACGACTAGAGAAGGCGGAGTGACCGGTGCTCCAGACCGTTTGACACGGCCGTGTGAATTGTCGCCCCGCACGAGACTCGCACCACCGCCTGATCCATGGACTGGGACCCGGATTAAACAATTCTTGCTGGAACTCCTGGCGTGAGAGGAGGGCAGCGTTTGGAGAAACCATCAGAGGTAAATATAGAACTGTTTCCCCTTCTGTTATACATGTATTAGTCATATAATTGATGAAATATTATGTACAAAGTGTATATAACAGTTAAGGTAGTATAGGATGGACATGCCTCCTTTTAAAACACAAAATTTATGATGTTTTGCTTTAGAAGCTGACTCCACCAAGGACATAATATATAGGGCTGCATATTCACCGTGCCGTGTTTTGGTTTGTATATCATATCAATGTAAGGCAACCCTACAAGGCTACGTCTTGACGGTTATTAGCTGTGACAGGAGGTGTCGATGGGAATTGTATCCCCGGCTCATCATCGGGAAGGTTTCGTGCCATCCCGGCAGGGTCAGCCCCCGGCTGCCGTCCCGACCGCTGCACGGCCCCGCCGCGCTGGGGGAGGAACGAGCCGGCTCTTTTGTGTACGTTTATTTATCCGGAGTGCCAGATGTATCCAAGGGACGGGTATACGGTGGGAACAGGGACGCGGACCAGCTTTTCCGTCAAATCTCCTGTCAGCGCTGAGAGAAACGTGGACAAATAATGGCGATTTGATGACTCCGGGGGTGAAAGCGCGCGTCAGTCTTTTCTTTTTTCCCCCGATGTCTTTTGGCAGGCGTTGCCATGGCGACGACCACTTTCGGTCCAAGTAGCGTGTCGTGTGTGGAGAAGGAGTTGATAATGTATTCTTCACGCTCGCTCTCTTTCTCGTTTGTATTAACCTCAAGTTTTTTTGTTCCCCCTCTTGTGTATGTGTACATCAGGCTGAGCCTGGAGGGGAGGGGGAGTACTGTGTGACCTCACCAACCCAAACAAGGCGGTGTCCCGGGACTAGCCCCCCGCCACGGCATCGCAGCTGTGGACGGGACGTCATCCTCGGGCCAAATCCGACAAGAACACCCTCACCTTGGGCCGGCCGTCCTCACACGTATATACATCGCCAAGGTATGTCTAATATGTGTAAGACATTGTTGATATATCATATACCATTAGCCGCCTTTAGGCTTTATGATACAAGCAATGGATACGATACGGTGTTCTCTGAGCAGATGTGTTTCCGGCTTGTTTCTGCGGCAAAGATGGATAAAAATAAACGCGCGTCACTCGAATAAAACGCCGCAAAAAGGCCATGATCTGCTTATTATACCGGTCGTAGACTCTATGAAATGTTAATAACACGACAGGGGTTACAGACGGTCATGTCATCAGCTGGCCTTTTCTTTTCCCCGCCCATTAGGGCAGTACATTTCTGATTTTATCGCCTCGCCCGTTCCCCGTTTCTGTGGGAGAGGACGTACCGATCTCCAACCCGACCGCCGCAGTCCTCATCAGCCAGAGGCTTTACAGATAGTGTAAGTCGCCGTGGATCACAGGCCAAAGAAATTGGTGGGATTTGTTGATTACCTTGGTTAAAATAGCCCGATCCTCTGGGTGTTGGGGGCGAGTCTTGCGCTAATAGAAACCAGGAGAGGCGCCCTTTGAGTTCGAACAAGGAAGTCCTTTCACGCTCTAGTTGAGGGCGAGGCCGGGGGGAGAGAGACTAGTGCCGTCTCACCTCCGGCCTGATTATTGACTAGTTTGGTGTAATTTCTCGGTATGTGAACCGGCTAAAAATATGAAGCAGACCCGCTAGTCGACTGACAAACACTCGGCAGGCCAGAACATCACGACTTGGCGGTGTGTTATTGGAAAGTGAAGATTGACACCGCGAGATGACCACGGATGTAGGGCAAGGTTGAAGCAGGGCATTGTCTTGCCTTCAAGCAGTTGTATGGCCCGGTTTTGTAAGCCCCAGACATCTATTTTATTTACTGGCATTACGATAAGGCAATGCAATAGCGAACCCAGGAGCCAAACTAGTTTTAGGGCGGCACAACAATTGCGAAACACAAATATATAGAGAGAATATTACAGAATTATACAGAATTGAATAATCAGAAATTAACCTTAGCGTTAACACTTAGAAATTATCATTTTCGCTTGTTTTGCTCATTTTGGAAATGCATTTTTCACTATAACTGAAAGGAACACACTATACTTGTATGAATGACAAAGCGAAATGTCGTACTTAAAAGTCATACGCACACACCTAGATCTACTAGGAGATTAGGATCTGTCACGCTTGGCAATTTCCCGCCAATTTTGCGCCTGTATGGCCAATATCGAAGCGCATTGATTGGATGACGAACGAGTCGCTGATGAAGGTGGCCGTTATTTACTTCTGCCCTCTGATTGGCGGAAAATCGAATTCCTGCGAGGTCCGCGATTCTAAAACCGTCCCAGACGCCCGTGCGAATGTCCCACTTTTCTTTTATTACTCTTGCCTTGAGATGGCGAGAAGATATATCATATCTCATATCATATAATGTTGCGCGTTCCCGCAATGTTACAGTCGGTAAACCATTCTTTATATGATACAAATCAAGGCTTTCTGAAATATTGAGGTTATACGACACGCTCCCAAACGTTTTAAACTTCCTCTCGTAATGACAATATGAGATTTTTGCCGTAAAAATATTGTTTTATTTTTAAACCTTCGACAGGTGAACCGCCAATCATACAAGATTTATAAGATAAGCCGCCTGTCGCTTATGAAAATATGGTTATCGACAGACAGATGCAATATCCGTTCTGCGTATATATAACATAAGAATCATACCAGAATGTGATATGAAAAATGGAAACCGGGAGACAGTCAGATCCATATTGGTGAATTATTACATGAGAAACGTAGGTTAAACCCCCAAAGAGTCTACAGATTGATTTTTGCGATTGCGGATGTTGAATTTTGCATGTGGCGTGTGTCAGTGTTCAGATGCTGCAATATACAGATCGAAGAAAGTCGTCAAATCATAAACCGTGGTGTTGGTATGTGAGAATTCTCCTTTATCCGTAAATAGTTTCATCAGGTTGGAGAGAGATAGGACAGCAAATCTCTTTATTCAGAATCAGAGCCGACGTTTCGATGACCGTCTGTCATCTTCATCAGGGCAATTATGACTGGTTCCCTGTGAAGCTGAACTATATTTCTCACTATTGTTATAACACTAATAGTACGAGTATGATCAACTATCTATGCACTAGTATGTCACAATTACTTTACTTTTGGGATTGCGTTGTTGGCACCAACACCTATTTTCAGTGCACAGTGAACCAGTCATAATTGCCCTGATGAAGATGACAGACGGTCATCGAAACGTCGGCTCTTGTCAAACAAGTGGTTGTGATTCAAGAACTTTTGCTGTTCGATTTCTCCTTTACTTTACTTTACAAGTAGCTCTTTTGCAGCTGATTTATGAACGGTATACATGTACATCATTTTGGAGCGTTTCTACATTTGCCAAATCTACCTGAGCTCGAACCTCGTTTTCCGTAATCGCCGTAGCTAACTCTTAACACCGTCATGGCTTGTCGTGTGGCTATTTTCCAAATTCAATTCACACGTGTGTTCCCGCGATATGGAAGTGTGACAAAGCTAGCGCCCTTGACATTTTCTCTAAAGAGTCCCTCGACAATGTTCGGAGATACCTGGCAATTATATCACATTCCTCAGATTTCATTATAAGTGTTCAACACAATGTAGACAAACTTCACCAATGGGATATGTTTATTATGCACGTAATTCACGATGGAAGACAACGAATATGAAAGGAATCTTTCCAGGGGAATATGAAGATAATTGCTTATTTCAGTATTCACGTATAGAAAATTAAATCATTGTCGATCCATAAAAGTGAAAGGTCTTTCAAACATCAATTCCGCCGCCGGTAGAGATCAATTAAAGAAACATAAAAGTGAGAATTTCCCGGTTGTGGTGTGGGAACCCACGCTGAGACAGACGGGGTGGATTTCTTCTGTAAACAGAAACCTGACTAAAGAAACAAACCCATGCTAACTAGAGACAGCGGTTAGGAAGGAAAGGATTTTGCGGAGTAGAGAGGGATTTAATCTTAATTCAACGTCGATTATGGCTGTCCGAAGTTTTGCTTAGACTTAGGAAATAACTATTCTCCAAGTAGATGAAAAACTTTGCGTTTTCGCACGTTTTTCTTTCATGATATCTGCTTTGGAGATTAGGAAGTACATTTGTAACATGACTAAAATAGTTAATGTACCTTTTTTTGCTTCAATGTTAGTGCCAAGGAATGGCACCAAACTGAAGCAAATTGCGACGATATCAGCACCGAGAGGGAGCAAGTTGTGATAGATAGTAGTTTCGTGTATGCTTAATTACTGTTCGTTCTAAGCTGGCTAATACTGGACAGTTTCATGACAGTTCTGATCACAGAACTCCAGTCAGAAGCTCTGAGGAAGGTGTCTGATAGACACTGAAACGTAAGCAAGGTGAGACTATATATCTTGGTTGTGTAGAAGAAAACCCCTGTATCAGATTCACGGAGATTCTCTCCCATCACACCCGCTCCAGTGACCGCACAGGTCTTCGCACGCAGAAAGGTGAACGTTTGGGTCGAGCCCGCTGCCGAATTGAATTTTCCTCCTCCTCGTACCGTGCTCCAACATGCACACTCCGTACATCATGTATGTAATAACCTTCTCTCCCACGCCCTTACTCCGTCCGCACAGGGAACTCAGGCCCGGGGTTTTATTGTTTTTCACGCGGTTGATTCGCTTGAAACTTGACCGCTACAGAGGCGTAGTCATGATGTTATAATTTTTCGCGGTGGTTTCTATTTTCGCAGTTATATATTCGGGTGTCATGAATTCCAGGGTGACACGAAACGTCATACGTGACATCACAAAGAATGGATTTTGGCTGTCGAAACTTTGGGCAAGTCCATCCAGTTTTTGCTTTGTAAATTACCGTTCAACTTTGCTTCATTGGAGTACTGGAGTCGTTCTCTTCTCTTTCAACCTTGCCAACTTTTAAGAAATAGGAGATTAGGAAAAGGGGCGTTCTCGCCCCCATAGGCTCGGTCAAATTACTTTGAATGCACCACATAACTAGACATGAGTGGGTCGGTTTCGGCTATTCTTTTAGCACCCAATTAAGTCTGATTAAATTAGAGCACCTCTCAAGAAACTAGTAAGAGCCAACATGGAAGTATTCCAGGAGAAATAAATCAAGTGTAAAATACCCAAGAAACAATATCCATTCATTTATCACGTATCCCCAAGGAAGTCTACAACGAGTGTATGAATAATGAGGTAACTGGAGAAGTTGGAGGGACTTATTAATACACAGTAGGAGTTTTCCGTTATGTAACAAGGCTTATAACAGGAAGAAATGTCAGATGCGGGGAAATGATGCATCATGAATAAAGACGACTGAAATGAATAAGATTAATTAGAAGTAGACTCAACTGCAAAATAGCAGAGGAGGAGGATTTTAGTATTTTGAGAATGTTGCAAGTGCGCGGTTTTAAAGATTTCGTACAAGTGAACACCCAATGTGAACTCTTTTTGACATATTATAAGCATTAATGTCCTGTCCATAGTGACATAGACCAGGTTTTGATTGCCCCCTGTGTGGCTTCTCGGGTAGTTTTGTGTCTCAGAAATATGGTTCCTCTTTGCGCTTGAGACAAGTGAATATTCAATCAAGAAGTCATTCTTTATCATCCACTTCTGACAAGTGACAGTTCAAGTCGGAATACTGTCAGGCTAATTTGCATATCCCCAAGCGGATTTTCTGGGGGCGAAAGTTAAGTCACAGGTAAGCCTCCTTCTGTCGCAGAATCCTTCTTCGCCGGGAGAAACGGTCCCGGTGGCTTTGTGTCTTCACGGTGATGAATGTGAGGGAAGGAAAGTGACAAGAACGAAAAGATCATCCATTCCTCAATTCTCGGGACCCCTCTTGTCCCCTGCGCGAATGACGTCATCAATTCTCCAAGGTGCCGCCATGTTTTTTCGGACGACAATACCTGGGGTCGCCCCGCGGGAATCGCGAAGTCGTCAGTGGAGGAAATGGCTTCGTGTCGTGATGT